ATAACTAACAAGGAGATGAAATCAGTCATTACAATGTTTGTCATGCAATATCTCTTAGCAAATTCAACAGACAGTGATGAAATTACATTATGTTATAGAACATAACTTTTTCCATTAATAATACTAATATGACTACTGTAGCATTCAAAAGCCAGGTTTGTGCTGACCCTCAAAGTGCTATACAAATATTATACTTACCACTCTTCTTTGACCACTAAACTCTGTAGGTCAGCCACGAGTGAAAGGTCAATAGTTAATAGTATTCATTTTGCAAGACATGTGGCTTTTTACTTAATCGTATTATTCATTATTCTATTTAATATTCATTTTTAAATAATATTTTCATTATTGATCAAAGTCGCCATAACAGAGGTGCGTGGGCGGGACCACGCAAATAAAACTCCCACTTCTGAACGGAATTGGAGACAGTTGCATTTGGGCTGTATTGACTTATTCCTTACAGCTCTCAGACTGAATTTTTTGATGTCCCCAGATTGCAATAAATGCTTCAAACTCTGCTCCTTTCCATCTTTTGTTTACAGCTACCACTTCATTAATTTTGATGGGCGTGGTGTAAAGGGCAGAGTAAATAATATTTGTGGTTTAAGCTATGAACGTGTTTACACTGTCACTAAGCTAGCTTTAATTATGTCTTAAACTACCAACTTTAGGTAGTTCAAGATACATTTATTAAGTATCCTTTTTGTGTTTTAACTGGTTTTAGTCAGTTCACACTTCAAAATAGTCAACTAGTTAAAATTAAAACCTGTTAAGTTATGTTTAAACCAGTTAAGATGCTACTAGTGTAAACAGGGAAATAGCATTGATTATGAAGGGTTGCCAATAGCAACAGGAGCTGATCAAAAATCGTCAGAAACTGGCATAGCGAGAGCATGCACTTTTTATTTTGCTATTTATAGTTTCTAAACAATTGTTTGCTCCAAATGGTAAGCGTCTACCCAGTCATGTTAAAAAATGTACCAGTCAGTTAAATTAAGCATAATCAGACTGATAAATACTAGCTGTCAAGACCCATAGTGCAAGTTGTATTCTTCTATTCTGGAATACGCAAGTTTTGTCAATATTAATAAAACATGACCTCTTTGCCCTGGTCTCAAACTTCTTTTCAGATTATACTTCATGTCGAAATAATTATGCTTAGCACATGAAAGAGGAAAATATGCAATGAAACACCTCAAAATTCAACCTTAAAAAATGGCACACTCATTGATGTCCTTGTAGGCAATAAAACCACTAGTCCTGTTCCACAAAGAATTAGCTGCATTGAAGGATTTAACGATTTTTTGATATCTCTTCCTTTGTTTCTAGCACAGTAAGAAATAATCACTCTCTCACTACATCCATTGCTATTGACAACTAACGTCAGGTACAGTGGCATCCTCAGTACATTCAACTGATACATTGCATTTTTCATCAGCTCTTTAGAAAAACATACTGTATTAACTTGTCTTGAAAAAGGAGACCAAGAAATGTTTTGTCTTCACAGACAAAAACTTCCACTAAAAATCCTAAGTACTATATATAATCATGCATGCATTAGAAATTGTGCCTTCAAGCGAGTAACCAAAGCAGTGAGGTAGTTGCCATTAGTAGAAGAATAACATTGACTTCAAATATTACTGATATTTTTCAGTGCTACTATTTTATTACTGGTAACTGTTAAGTGCCACTGCAACAACTTTTTATTGACTTTCATCTTTTGCAATGACTTTCTTCATCCATTTGGCCTGTATCAAGTTTTCTATGCTTTGAAAGATGATCATAAACTTCAAATGATAAGGATAGTAAAATTGTAAGTGATTATGTTACCAAACCTTCGATACAGTCTTCTGACAGTCAAATTTTAACTACAGCTGCACATCCTCGTAGAAAAGTGCTACAAAGGATTGGCATACAATACAAATTTATTGCACACAACTGTATCTGTAATGACTCCTCGCTCCTTCTCCTTTGCCAATGTATTCCTTTCCACCACAAAGGCATGCCATATCAATATTGACAAACAGCACAGAGCTGTTTGCCTTCTAAACACTTTCTTGTAATCATTTTTTAGCCGCTTCTAGAAGTCTTGAATCTTAATGTAAGAACTGAGCGTAATGAAGTGACTCGAAAATCTAAATTATCTTCGAAAGCTCTTCATAACTGTGAAACATTTCCTTGACAAAAGGAACCATGCTGCATCCCCCGTGTTTGTGTGGGTGTGGATTGATTCGTATATGTCTAGATACTTGGTTCCCAGATCATTAGTGCAGAAAAATTAAATGCAGATGCCAAAACTCTAGCCACTGAGTATTAAATAACAGTGTACATGAAGAATTTCTGATGTGTTAGCAAAATTTTTGTACATCAGAATATGCACATGATAAAACAATCATCAACAAAAGATGTACAACATCAGCTGGCAAGCATTAATTATGAACACAGCATTGATGGCAGCTTCATTTAAATGTGCAACATCAGCTGGCAAGCATTAACTTAATAACGTATAGCGGGATATTTTCGCGGGGTCAAACTTTCTTGATTTGTGGTGGTTAAGATTTTTGTGGGTTAAATTTTTGTGATATCATATAGCGGGTAATTTTCAACTGGTGCTTATTTTCGTCTGTTTCATTGCTATTAATTCAGAACGAAAATTAATTCTGATGAAAATTAATTCTGAAGATAGGCGTGACAATAATAAATTATTAATATTATGATAACAAGCATGGATGGCCTTAAAAACAGTGTTCACCTTCTAAAGAATCTCTTCCAGACCCAACAGGACCAGGGGACCTCCTTCTAATGCTATCAGTCCTGCAGATGCTAATGAAGACATCAGATCAATTATTTTTGTCTAGTCAAAAATAAAACAAACAAATTTTTATTCTAAAGTCATTTCTGGTTTTAATTAAAATTTTCAACCACCAAAAATTACCCGCTATACGGTAACTGTATTATAAGAGCCTTTGGCTTTGCTTTCTAAACCTCTCCCGACACCTTTAATCGCTTTACAAAGTAAACCAAGTGTACTTTCATTGAAAGTTTCTTTAACTTTTGTTGCAAGCAGCTTGCAGTATTTCTCCATTTCATTTCATGCATGTCGAGACCAGAAATGCCAGTACCAAATATGCTCAATTTTTGTGCGTTAATTGTTTGTAAAAGTGTCATGGACACTCAATACACAAAAATCAGGCCGCACAAAAATATCCGCTATGCGGTGATGCGCACAGTATTGATGGCTGCTTTATTAAAATGCACAATATCAGCGGGCAAGCATTAACATAAGTGACCCAATATGAGGAATCCAGGTTGTGGTATTTTGGTAAGTTCAGTTTCTGTTAATTAAGGGAAAATTTTCCTTTCCAATGATACCCTGTTTATAATAATGCACAGTAAAATTATTAGGGATACTGTTTCAACAATTGCTGTGGAATACAAGTTCAGAGAAAAAGTAATTTTAGGTTATTTTTAATGTTATCGTGTCATTCCTGTTCAGATAGTAAATGAAACCATGCCCACTATGTGAAACAAAACCCAAATCATTCATAACATATCAGACGATAATGGTGCAGTTGGCAGGATTGGTTGTCATTTAGATAAAAGACCATAAATGTGTAGAAATCAATTATGATTCATTGTTTTTGGTAGTAACGTGATACCCTGACTTTAATATGTTAAGTAAAAAGTTTTGATAGAAAGTCACATCATCATGATCTGTTATGTTAATAGCTACCAATGCCGCCAACTGGCCTGCTAAGTCACAATTAATAAACTGGCAATGAGAAGGAAACACATTAAAGTATGAGTGAGAGAACTGATGGAAAAATTAAGTTAAAGTATGTGCTTATGGTACTTTTTGATGAAATTTTATATTTTTTTAATTGCTGCCATTTTATAGCAAAGAAAAAGTTGTACAACTTGTGCTATTTTTAAATTTTTACCATGCACTGTTTAGAAGTTATAGATCATTGAACTTCAAACATTAAAAAAATTCCTGCATAACTTTTCATACTTTATACACCATCTTTGATCTTGTGTCACTTCTGGATACCTTTGTATATTATAAAACTGACGGGGAATGTTAATTGCAAGGTGGAGATAAGTTATGACGTCATATTAGTGAAACCATTAATAAAAATGGCTGCCAGTATGTATTTCCTGACTATTGTTTATTTAGCTGTTTCATCTGGTGAATGCAGGCTCTACCAAGCTCTAAAGCTTGCAGTCATGGCATAATGAAGGCAAACACTCAATCAAGTTTGTATGCAGTAAATGATACACTGATGTTTGAAAATCAACAAAACTTTATGAGAGATTGCAGCCCATTTTGCAAAACTTAAAAGACTTTTGCCAAATGATGCAACATACTTCAACAGAAAATAATATTATAAACACAATGATATCACTAAAAATTAAAGTACTCTCATTATGTTCAAGAATTCTTTACTCAGTTTTCATCCATTTTACAAAGTTTAGTAAAGTTTATTGCATCTCACTGT